AGGATTTCAATAAGGATTCATTCATGCATTCAGCAGATATTTATTAAGCACCAACTGTGTGCCTGGCACTGCTCTATATACAAAGGAAAGAGCAGTAAACAAAACAGACAAGATACCCTTGCCATGACTTAGCAATAGACAATAAACGAATAAATAAATTATATAGTATGTTTTGAGGTGACAAGTGCCATGGAGAAAAATAAAGCAGAAAAGGGGGATAGGGAATACTGGGGCATGGGGGCAGTTCACAGTTTTAAATAGGGTCGTCAGGAAAGGCCTCCCTGAGAAAATAATAGAAGTATCTGAAAAAATAGTCGAAGGAATTAAGAGAGAGCTGTGCACATACCTGGAGGGAGAAGGCTATAGGAACAAGAAGGGAAAGGCTAAGGCCCCAAGGGGATTGTGTCTGGATGCGGAACAGCTAGGAAGCCACTGTGGCTGGATTGGAACATGCAAAGAGAAGAATAGTAAGAGAGGAAGTCAGAGAAGCAGTGGTAGAGGTTGGCAAGGCAGCTCACTTGGGGCCTCTTGGGATCTCGTGAGGATCGAATGGGAGAGGAAGCCATTGAAGGGAACAGAAGAAGAGTATAATCTGGCTGTTGTAACAGGATTTCACTGGCCACAGGATTGAGATTTAGAGTGTAGGGAGGGTAGTAGTAGAAGGATGGTGCATTAGTCGGCTAGGGCTTCCATGATAAAATACCACAGACTGGGCAGCTTAAATAGCAAATTTATTTTCTCGCAGTTCTGGAAGCTAGAAGTCCAAGATCAAAGTGTCAGATTTGGTTTCTTCTGAGATCTCTCTCCTTGGCTTGCAGATGACTACCTTCTCTCTGTGTCCTCATATGGTCATCTCTCTGCACATTCATTCCTAGTGTCTCTTTATGTGTCATAATTTCCTCTTATAAGGACACCAGTCAGATTGTATTAGGGCCCACTCTGGCATCTTCATTTTAACTTTGCTTGCTAAAGGCTTTATCTCCAAATACAGTTTCATTCTGAGGTAATGAGAGTTCGAGCTTCAATGTGTGAATTTTGGGGGCATTCGATTTAGCCCATAACAGGTGGAGACCAGTTAGGAAGTTATTACAGTAATCCAAGTGAGAAATGAGAGTGGTTTGGACTGGAGCAATAGCAGCAGAAGTGGTGAGAAGTGGTTGGATTCTGGTTTTGAGAATGAAGCCAACAAATTTGTTGATGGTTTGATTGTGGAGTGTGAGAGAGAAGAGTGCAGGATGACTCCAAGGTTTTGGCCTGAGGAAATAAAAGGATGGATTTGCCATCAACTGAAATGAGGCAGATGATGGGTGGAGTAGATCTGGAGTTCAGCTCCACTGCAGGTCATTTGCTGACTTCCTTTGACTATAAGGCAAGAGCAGATACTAGGCTAGATGCTACTATATAAAAAATAGGAGTGATGTTCTTGGTGACACTTAAGGCTTTGAGGGTTGATTGTGGCAGGGACAAAGTCAAAGTGTACTCTGGTGCTTAATACCTTGTATGTTGTTCTTAGTGGTTTTTTTGATAGCTATTTCTAAAGATGCCCATGGTTCATGGATAATCAAAGCTGTGTTTTCTATGGATGCCTGTCATTGCATGCAATCTCTTAGAACTCTGAGTCTCACTTACATGAATCAGCAAGGTGAACTCTGTGACACAGCATCTTGGTAAATACATAGAATTACATTCATTTTCTAAATAAGAGGATGGAAACGTGCTGAGTTTGAACATATTTTATTGGCTAGCAGGAGTTCATTTGATGGGTCACGTTCATATACTTATTTCCTAGAAAACCCATTGTCAAGTGAGCAGAGAGAAATGGTCTTGGAGTGTAAGGAATTCTTCTGATACTGTGAGAATCACTTGAAAGATGTAATTTGGATCAAAAAAATGTAATTTCTAGAACACTTCAATAGATCATGGCAACGTGATAGAATATTTTAAATCTAGGATTTGTAGTCTATGTAGCATAAGCATGCTCTCTCTGGTTTTGCTTACCTCCTTCCATTTCTCAAAGCCTATGTGACTTCATACTCTTTTAGCCTTGCATCATATTTTTCTCCCATTCTGTCCCTCTATAGTTTCAATGCTGCCTTTCTTGTGGATCTATGAGTCTTGATTCTCAAACTGCATTACTCCTACCTCATTCAATTTTCTCCTAGCCCCTAAAACTAAATTTTAGAACATTTTTGAGTTGACAATTGAAGCCTTTCTATCTATTTTTATCTTTATAATATTTTTTTTCTTATTACAAGAACTGTTTCTATGTATTACACATGAAAAGTGTATAAATTGTTAAGTGAAAATTGGAAATCTTATTAGCAAATTGAAGAAATAGAAAGTGATCCATCTTAGCACCATGTCTTCTAGATCCTTTTGACTCTTTGTTTTCTCTGAGTTCAGGTATCCATTGCTTATTCTTCTTGTATAGTGTTTTGAGTTCTGGTCCATTACACTCGCTGGTGTGCTGTATTCGGTAAGCTCTATTGTTTTCATTTCACATGAATGTGTAGGCTCCAGTCCTACACATCACAGTTGATGAACTGTCGACTCTCTCTCCAGAAAAATGTACATACACCAAATAAAATTTTTGCAATCAATTTCAAAGGTTTCATAGGTTACTTAGGAATCCATAGATTCCAAATAAGATCTGTTCTAGGTTTGAGCACCTACTCTGTGCCAGGCCGTGTCCTAAGTGCTAGGGAAATAGCAGCAAATGAAATGAACCAAAATCTCTGTCCTTTAGGGGCTTACATTCTATGGAGAAAAATAAAACAGGAAAGGAAAGGAGTAGTGTTGTATGTGTGGGTCAGCTGGGATGGAAGTGTGTTATAATGTAAAATAGGATGGTCAGATATGGCCTCACTGAGAATATGACAGTTTAGCAAAGATTTGAATGAGATGAGAGAAGGAGCCATGAAGATCTTCAGGAAGAACACTTTAGCCAGGGAGACACAGCAAGTACAAAGACCCTGAAATGGGAGTGGACCTGGTTTGTTTGAACAACAGCAAAGAGGCCAAGGTGACTGGCATGCAGTTAGTAGAAAAGCAGAGAAATGAGTCAACATGGTAAGTTGGAATCAGATTTCTCAGGGGCTTGTAGGTTTCTAACAGGAGCAGTTTGGTGGAGTGGTGAGAGTGAATGTTTGATTGGAGTGTGTTCCAGAAACCTTGGAAGACAAGGAATAGAGACAATGAACAGATTAATTTTTTTTGAGACATTTTGCTGCAGAGAGGAATGGAAAAGTGAGACAATAGCTCGTGGGTGAGGTGATTGAGAGAAGTTTTCTTGTTGGTTGTGCTTTTGTTTTAGGAGAGAGGTAACAGCCAGTTTGCCAATTAGTATGATCCAATAGAAAAGAACAAATTGGTAATGCAGGAAAGAGAGGATAGACTTGCTGGAGTTATGTCCTTGTGGAGAAAAGGGGTGGAATCCAGTACACTGATGGAAAGGTTGTCCTTAGATTGAGCAGAGGCAGTTTGTCATCCATGGTAACAGAAGGAAAGATGGAGTGCATGACCACACTTGCCAGAAGTTGGTTGATGTGGTGGTGGGAGCACAAGGAAATGGTTTTTTACATTTTTGTTTTGGGTGTGTGTGTGTGTGTGTTTTGGTTTTGTTTTGTTTTGTTTTTTGGCTTATTAAGTTTTCTTAGTAAAATAGGAAGCAAAGTCATCAGCTTTTACTCCCTAAATGATGGAGGGGAGTTTTGAATGTATGAGGAGAGGATCAAACATGAAATGATCATTGAAAAGAGTTAAGTGTGAAGGATATGAAAAATGATGTTTTTTCCCTTTTGTTTCTTATGTTTCTTCTTTATTATATTATTGGCAGTTGATGAGTGTAATGACTTATAATTCCCTCTGTACTTCTCTCTTGAATCAGCCCAAGGTTTTTCATTAGCATTAGTCTGTATTTCTGTATTTCTTGTTGGCCATCTTTAACTCATCTAGTGGTATAGCTTTAGGGAAAATAGGTCTTGAGTAGAAAGACCTCAATGGTTCTCTCCTCTCTCTCTCTCTCCTTTTTAATCTCCTAGTCATTTGAAGGTGTGTCTGTATTCCTTATCCAGGAGGAGTGGAGCGTTTGGAGCCTGAGCAGAGGACCCTTTTCAGTAGTGTTATGATGGAGAATTATATAATTGTGATCTTTCTGTGTGTAAGGACTTATTTCTTTAAGATGCTCAATCCTTAGATATTTCAATATGCGTGCATCCCTCTAAACAGGAGAAAAACTTTTCCACATCTCTTCACTGTACAAAGAAAAGCCTGGCATAAAATCACATTTGAAGTCCAGGTTTTTATCTGTAGTCAGTCAGGATTTTTCTTTCTGAGCAAGGTTTGTGCTCATGATCACATCAAAGCAGAATCTTAGACCCTTTTATCATAATAACAGTGATTATAAGAGTTAACTCAGATTGCTTGCCATGAGATATATAGTGATTAACCTATTATTCAACTCAACCATGTGGGGTAATTTCTATTATTAATCCATTTTATAGATGAGGAAATTAGGTATTCCGTCATTAAGTAACTTGCCTAACATCACATAGCTAGGATGATAGAGTCAGAGAAACCTTTCTTCTCTTTGTACGCTGGGAATTCTAATGATCATTAACCGTTTCCTTTCAAACCCTTCTACAGAAATGGCTGCATATTCACAGTCCCCTTTGGTTTGTCCCCTTTGTTTTTCTTCATGAGCAGGCATACTGATGATTAGACCTGTCTTGGTCACTTAGCTGAAGCAAGGGGAAGAGGAAGAACCCTGATTTTGAGATGACTCAGGTTCATAAAAGAAACAGTTCTTCCTGGTACTTTCCCCATATGTGTTGCTGATTAGTTTTATATGAGCAAAGAGGAAAACTAACTGATTTCAACCCCTGCAAAACCTAGAGCACTTAGGGACTTCGATATAGAATTTGTCTTTTCTGCAGTGATCTTAATTTTGAGCATTCTTTTCTTAGTTATAAGAATATAAATATTTCTCCTTTGTCTCACAGGGTTGGAACTACCAATTCAGGAATTAGTGTATATAATGCTGGAAACTTGTAGAGAGGAACTGCTCATGACTGAAAGGCTGAAAACAGATGTATCTTTCAAATTCTTATCAAGAAAATGACTGAAGAAAATGATGGGTCAAGAAGACCAGTGGAAAACTCCCTAGGAGAGAGCCATAGAAAATGTACACTTCAGAAGAGAGATATAATCAGAGAACTCAGAAAAGGAAAATATATCATGTATGCCCTCAGAAGGGTAAAAAGATTTTTATTCATGTGCGTGAGCTCACTCAAATAGATGATCAGATATACCAGTGCCTTGAACGTGAGCAAAACTTGTGTAAAAACTTAGCTCTTATTATGTGTGAGAGAACCCATACTGGGGAGAAACCTTATAGATGTGATATGTGTGAGAAAACCTTCATCCAAAGCTCAGATCTTATTTCACACCAGAGGATCCACAGTTACGAGAAACCTTATAAATGTAGTAAATGTGAGAAGAGCTTTTGGCACCACTTAGCCCTGTCAGGACACCAGAGAACACATGCAGGTAAAAAATTCTATACATGTGATATTTGTGGCAAGAATTTTGGTCAGAGCTCTGATCTGCTTGTCCACCAGCGAAGCCATACGGGCGAGAAACCATATCTATGTAGTGAGTGTGATAAATGCTTCAGTCGAAGTACAAACCTCATAAGGCACCGAAGAACTCACACGGGTGAGAAACCATTTAAGTGTCTGGAGTGTGAAAAAGCTTTCAGTGGGAAATCAGATCTTATTAGCCACCAGAGAACTCATACTGGTGAAAGGCCCTACAAATGTAATAAGTGTGAAAAAAGTTACCGACACCGTTCAGCCTTCATTGTTCATAAAAGAGTTCATACTGGGGAGAAACCCTATAAGTGTGGTGCCTGTGAGAAATGCTTTGGCCAGAAATCAGACCTTATTGTGCACCAGAGAGTCCACACGGGTGAGAAGCCGTATAAATGCTTGGAATGTATGAGAAGTTTTACTCGGAGTGCCAACCTAATCAGGCACCAGGCAACTCACACCCATACTTTTAAATGCCTTGAATATGAGAAAAGTTTCAACTGTAGCTCAGACCTTATTGTGCATCAAAGAATTCACATGGAAGAGAAACCACATCAGTGGTCTACATGTGAGAGTGGCTTCCTCCTAGGCATGGACTTTGTTGCCCAACAGAAAATGAGAACTCAAACAGAGGAGCTGCATTATAAATACAGTGTATGTGATAAAAGCTTCCACCAGAGCTCAGCCCTTCTTCAACATCAAACAATACACATTGGTGAAAAACCATATATTTGTAATGTAGGTGAGAAAGGTCTTGAGCTCAGCCCTCCCCGTGCATCAGAAGCCTCTCAAATGTCTTGATCAGACAAGAAGTTATAATACCATAAAAAATGTATTTACATGTCAGAGAACTCATTAAAGTGAAGAACTCTAGGCAAATCTTAGACTTTCCTCAGAGCTCAGACTTCAATGGGGACCAGAGAATCTGCAGTTGTAGGAATTTGAGAAATGGTTTGCCCATAGAGCTGCCCTAACAGAACACCTTATCAATCACTACAATGAGAAACCTTACAGTGCCGTGAGTTTTGGAAAACTTTTAGTCCAAGCTCATATCTGATCACCCACAAGAGGATTCATACAGGTGGGAAACCTTACCAATGCAGTGAGTGTTAGAGAGCTGTCTCGCAATGCTCACCCCTCCTCATTCGGAGAGAATTCACATTGGAGGAACTTTAAATGCTCTCAGTGTCAACATTGCTTCAGACACATGTTCATCTCATTGGACGTCAGAAAGCCCACACTGGGGAAAAACTCCAGCAAGTGTGAAAAAAGCTTCTAACAAAACTATGACTTTCTTACCCATCAGAGAAGCCATACTGGTGAAAATTTGTATATTTATCTTGAATGTGGCAAAAAGCATTAGTTGGAGAGCCTTCTTGGGTTTGCACCAGGATAACCCAATCTGAGGAAAGAACTTTCAAAGTCTCTGAATGAGAAAAGCTTCTGTCAGTGATCAGCTCTTGTGGTCCACCAGGGAACTCACATAAGTGAAAAACCCCATAAATACCTTGAGTCTGAAAAAAGCCTTGCTAGAAACTCCTACCATATTGGGCCCCAAAGAACCTACTCTGAAAAGAATTTTGCTCTAGTGAGAGGTCTCATTGTGGACTGTGTACATATAATAGGTATGAGAAGAACTGTTATCATAGCTAGTTGACCCATATGGTAGAGATGACTTTTAATGGAGTCAATATGTAAACAGTTTTTTAGATACCCAGAAGCTTGTTCTGGGAGGAGCTAGGGCAGGTCAGGGTAGGCCTGATGGGTAACTCAGGTGAAGATGCTTTTCTTTTATCTGAACCACTTAATGAGTACTTTACTTTTACTTTTTAAAATTTGGAAATCCAATAAAGGAAAGGACTGTAACCTTGTAATAGAAGGTGTGGCATGTGTTACTGTTGGGGAAAAGGAGTATATTGACTTTGTCTCTGTTGATTTTTTTGTTCTTGGCTAGAATGGGGTCTAATGTGTTGATAGTACCATGGGAACCTTTTGCTGGTAGTGAACTATTCAGTTAAGGAGTAGTTATCAAAAGCTTTAGATGAAAACTAGATCAAAAGTTTTCCCTTTGGAGGGCCAATCTCATATAAAGAGGCAGAATACTCATCTTCTTACTTAGTATAAATTGAGGCATACCCTCCTCACAAGCTTCCTTTCCCTAAAATATCCTCAGATTATCACTGGTATTTGAAATTTCAGTTTTGGAGATTCATTTCTTTTCAACTCAGAAATGCAAATTCCAGGATGATAGTTAAGATGTTGCTAGTATCCATATTTTTGTGACTTTATCATGTCTCTTTCAATGATAAGATATCCTCATCAGCTCCTTGCAGAATAGTTAAGGGTAGACTGAAAGAAAGGTTTAAGCCTGAGTAGGCAGAGTAAAATATATAATGCATTATTAATGGAGGAGCTAGACTTTTTGATTTTCAGTATCCTGACTCCAAAGCTGGTGTTCTTTTCCCTCCATTATCCTGCTGTTTATAGAAAAATCAAGCCCCATAATGATATGCCTTTCATTTGTTTCAGTTCTGCCAAGGAAAGAGGATACTTTTTATTCCCAGGTAAAGGATTGCAGTCACCACAATATAAGGTATATATTTGGTTTGGAATGTAGAATTCTAAATACTAAAAGGGAAAAGTAGTTGGCAGATTCATCAGAGGTTTAAGGGTAAGCACTTATCTCCAATTTAACAGGATAATTGTGATTATCTTTAACATTCTCTAGAAATACTTTAATTAATCCAGGAATCTATAAGTGGATACTTCTGAGGTTTTTTCCTTCCCTCAGATTAAAAGACCTTTAATATAAATACTTAAGATTCCTACAGTATCTGGGAGTCTAGACTGGTGAATAAATATTTTGTTGCTGGTCTGATCCTCTGGTTTATCTTAGCAAATCCCTGAACTTTAGAGAGTGTTGGCATTTGGACTCATGGAGGTGGCCAACTGCTGCCTTGCATGTAGCTCTAAGCTTTGATCCTAGCGACTCATTGATCATTTTGAAATCTTAGAGTCAATGCGTGTAGCTCATAGTGATAATAAGGAATTTGATCCTAGGATTTTTTCTTTTCTTTTTTCTTTTAGAAAACAGATCCTGGATGTTTATTTCATCTGATGTGTTTTAGTAATTTTCGTAAATAGCTCTCATACCGTGAAAGTTGCCCAGTGTGATAAAACGCACGAGATGTATTTGTTTCTCTTTGGTGAAAATCATGCCTATCATTAGTATATGTTTGACAGTTGTAATACTACAATAGTTTTGGGTGTATGGCATGGTGGCGATGAAAATTAGTCCTTATGGCTACTTGTTAGTCATTAGAGAGAACTCAGAGAAGGGGACAGAGTTGGTATCATTGGCAGGGCAATGACTTGACCCTTCTTTCAACTGATCTTAACTGGTAATCGTCTCTAGTGTTTAAATAAATTAAGGATGGACCATCCCTCAAGCAGAGAACTTTGGGAGTATGAAATAGGTCTGAGGGCTTTTAACCATGGGGAAAAGCTGTTGGTAGTATTCATCTAGCATAACCTGAGGTTGGAGAGGACCACTTGGGAGCCTGTAACCAAAACTAGAAGGTAACTTCTGGGATGGATGGAGGTTCTCTTGAAACAGTGCCAACCTAAATCTACCTCAGGTAAGTAGTTAGAGTAACTTTTTCAAGATTTCAGACCAAACGAGACACTTGTATCAGTCAATGTATTCCTATGCTTTAATGTTTTTGTTTTCCCTTAATTCTTTAAATAAACATTTGTTCTGAAAAATTCCATTTTGTCTCCACTGTACTAAGAAAAAGCATTTCCCCTACACTTGCAATAGAATAAAACAGATATTCAGGAATCCTTTCACAACGTATACATATATCTAATCATCACAATGTACTCTTTAAATATCTTACAATTATATTTGTCAGTTACACCTCAGTGAAGCTGGAAAAAAAAAAATAGATATTCATGCGACCCTTAGGCCTGGTGAGAGTGATAGCCATTTACCCATTGCTAAAATTCTAGGAGTTTTTGATGCTAAGGTAGAGAGGAAATGGAAAACTGGATGGAATACTGTCTGCTTCACTGAAGACATTGGACCCTGTTGGAGCCTCCCCACTGCATTACATAAGTAGCACAGGCAGGAGTAATAGCTTCAACTGACCGTATTTGGGGGTAAAATTGAGTAACAACAAAACCATCTATTATTCACGTGAATAACCTATATCCTCAAAATTAGGGAAAATTTCACAATTCCCAGTAGAATCCATATATGGCTCCAGATTACCTCTTCCCACTTGATCATTTGTCGGAGTGGGGCAAGGGAAGTGGTGTAAAAATGGTGGCATTGATTTAATTCCCGTTAGGAAATTTGCCCCGGTTTATGTCCGTTTACTCTGCCAACAGAATAGGTCCCAGAGTTTTAAGTGGCTTTCATGTGAGAACAAAATAAGAGGGAGGTATGACAGTTAGATGGATAAAAAGAAGAAGGGAAAATGGTACAACTTCAAGTTTTGTTTTTCCGTCTGATGTTCATATAGAGTGGTATGGCTAGACAAGGCCTGCAGGCTTAATGCTTTTTTTTCCCCCACTTAAACTGATGCAACATCCAAACATTTAGGTATGCCGTGGTGAGAAATATTTCTGGGAAACACACTAGCCGTATCCCCTAGAAGTAACTGGAAGAGAAATGGTACTCCAGTGTCTCTGGGGAAGTAGCAAGGGAAAGGTATGCCCCAGTGCACACACATGCCATGAGTGGTTCTCGAAGTAGTTCTTTACATGCTCCTTGAGAAAAGAAACAAACTTGTAATGCAATTGAAGCTTTCTTGTTTTATGCCGAAAACATTAGCTTTGTGTCTTCATTTTACGCAGGCAGAGATGTGGATTTAAAGGGGTAAGGGAGGCTGAAGGCAGTTAACCCTTGCAGAGGGAATCCTTTTTCCATCTGGCAGAGGAAACTTAACAAGTACAGTATGTTATAGGGGTTCCATTGTCAGTAGTGACTGATAGATCAAATAATTGATGGTTAGGGTCCAGTGAGGAAAAGAGAGGACTCTTGGAGTAGCTCCTGTTCATCTTTTGTATCCATTTTCAAGTACTCTGCAAACTTCTTGTACCCAGGACTCTTGAGCTTAATTGGCTGGCTCGGAAAGTTGTGTTAATATATCTGAAAAGGAGGAGAAGCCTTTTGTATGGAATTATAAGTGAGCCTTTCTCTTTGTTGAGTCCAGTGCCTCTTCTAAATGGGGAGCCTCGGTATTGCGGATGGAAGAAATTGGATCTGCTTTGGGAGACATGGGGGGCAGTTGGTTTGGGGGCAGTAGGGCCTTATCCTGGTTTACCAATGGGCAGTTTAAACCAGACCAGTTGTTTCTGACTGGCAAGTGGACCAATAAGGGAGTTGTATGGAACAGTTTCTGCTGCAGTGACCTATCTCTTGTCTCCTCTGCTGATGTCCTAAGCCCACACTCTCAGCCCTCATTCTCCAGCCCTCTTCAGCCACCTATAGGATCATCTACTCCACCAAGAAAAATTTCTGACAGTCACAGCCCTCCTGACCACTTCAAAACAAGTCTCTTGATCTATCCTGTCTTTCTTCTCCCAAAGGAATAAATATCCTGACTTTTTTAACATGCCAAGCACATTCTCCTCAACAGTCTCTGGAACTTTCTTCATTTGTCTCTTCTACATTTTTTTGTTGATTTCCTCCATTGAGTTTTTTCCTCATGTCTTCAAATATGTATAGAAGCCCTTCCATTCCCTGTTTAAAAAACAAAAAACAAAAAATTTAAGTTGCCCTCAGTATGCTAGGTTTCTTCTTTGCCCCCTCTCCAGAATTCAGCAGCTTAAAATCTATACTGCCTCAATTTCTAAGTATTCATTTCCTGTCATACTATAATCTGGGTTCTCTCAATTTTCTACCTAGCTGCTCTCTCAAAGATCACCAGTGACCTTTGAACCGAAGTGGAAGATGTGCTCTCCAGCATTGTGCTTCACTTGACTGCTTTTTTTTTTGTCCTTAGCAACACAGTTTAGTACAGATTCTCACCCTGTCTTTTTGACATTTGTTTTTATTCACTCCTTTGTTGTCTCCTTTTTTCCCTATCTCATAAAGCATAAGCCTGATCACCTGCTTCTCTTCCTCAGAAAATTCATTCATCTGTATTGTATGTCTTCTACTCAAATCTAAATAAACTCCAAATTCTCTTGCTCCCTGAAATGCTAGTTTTAATCTTCCATCATCATCCTGAGTCATTTCTCTTAAAGGCTCAAACCATGTAAAATCCGACTCATTTCCATTTTCTCTGTTCCGGTTTCTCCATTAGGATTGATGGCACCACCTTTGCTGAGCTAGGAATCGTCTTTGACTCTCCTGTTTCTCTCCCACTGTCACCAGATCCTGTTATACTTTCTACGTGTCTTTCACACTTATTCCTTCATTTGCATTCTTGTTATAACCACTCTAGAAACTTGTTAATTTGTTTTGATTTTTGCAATAATCTCAATTGTCTCTTTTTTTTCTCCTTCCTACTCAGTTCAGCAGGTTTACCTGCTTTTACCACCGCTTTGTGCAGCCTTAAGTAAGTTACTCTCCATTACTTATAGCACCAACTGTACGTTTTCTAACCTAGCTTTTAAGCAGCCTAAAAGTTGATCCTTTTTAACATGTGTTTTTCACAATTGATCTAGAGCAGACGTTGCACCCTGGGGAGTGACAAAAGGTAAACCTGGGAGAATTGGGACGAGGTGGGTCAAGAACCGTACCTGAACTGAACTATTGCCTTCCAATTATGTAAGCCAATAAAATTCCTTTTTGATTATGCCTTATTGAGTTGGGTTTCTATTACTTAACTGAAAACACCTTGAGATATTCCATAAACTCTTATCTAGTTAGGCAATTTTCCTTGCTATCCTGTGTACATACCTCTTTGCTTATTCTGCTTTCTGTACCTGGGTTGTGCTTAATATTGCTTTCTATCTATTCACATCTAAATATCTGAATATAAATATCTAT